CACTCCCATCTAGCACTGAAAATGTTCCCTACTTGGGTCATGAAACCTGGGCTAGAAAACCAGCCATCTCAGAGAGCATGGTCACTCTAAATGAATGGCTGTAAGTGTCAGCATTGGAGGCCACTTTTTTACTTGGAAGCTTTGAGGCTGCCACATTCGGTGCCTGGGAATCTGGGAGGGAGGATTTAATAGTGGCGTAGAAGACTAGACACAATAACATTCTTTCTCAGAGAGTCAAGGACAAGCTTCCCTGCACTTGGAGAGAAGTGTCTGGAAGGATATCTCCAGTGGGGAAGGAGATTTGGTTGGGCCGTGTGATGGATTGGTGGGTGCAGGGATTTTTTTTAATTATGCAGGGAAATCCTGGAGCTCTCAGATTCAGGTTTTTACCAGGTATACCAATATGACAACTCTAATAAAATGGATGTCAGTGTTCCAGAAAACCTCCACTCCAACCAGTAACTCCGAGACAAAGTTCTGTCTCATTTGGACAGTAAACTGGCACATCTGGGGCATCCTGAACCTGAAAGTTCCGGCTTCCCTGCAATAAGTAAAAAATGACAAATCCACCCCCTGCACCCATCATGGCATCACATGCCCCAATCCCCCTCCATCCCAACTTGACACGTCCTCCCACCCAGGTGCAGAAAGAACACGACCTTGATTTAGAAGAAGAATGCTGTTGTGTCTAACTACATACACTCCCAAGAAATCCCCCCCCCTCCACTTTCCCAGGCTCAAGAAGGTGGCAACGTAAGAAGCGTTCGGCGCTAACAGGGCTTCCAAGGGTGACAGTGGAATTTAGAGGAAATATCTGTCTCGGAGTTTATTGGTTTGGAGTTGGTGAGTTGGAACGCTGACAAGTAAGCCAAGGATTACCTCTACAAGAGTAAAGGGGAACAATCTTTCTGCATTTTATTTTATTGTTATCCTGTCGTTAGTAAAATGCAGTGCTGCCCATCTTGCCCATATGTGGGCCTGCCTATCCGCCAGTCTGAGGCTTTAGCCAGGCCGTCCTCTGCCATGCGCTTCGGCTGCTTTGCCACCCTGCCCTGCTGAGCCTGCCGTGCTGAGCTGCTGCACTTAAATGGCGTCCTTGTGCCTTCACAAAGCCAGTGCCCCCCCCCCCCCCCGGCCCCTCCCCCCCCCCCCCCCCCTTTTGGGAGGGCCCGACGACGCGCCCCCCGCCCCCCCCCCCCCATGTCTTGTTAACCTGCTTGGTTGGCTTTGAAAAGATGTTCTAACCCTCGGCCGATGGTGTCCGTGATGCAAAAGAGGAGCTGCTGTTGAAAGGACGCAGCCCAGATGCCGCAGTTCCCACGCTCCAGCCCAAAGCACAGCCAAGGGGCTGCTTTGATCAGTGCTCCTTCTCCCTACCTGGAGCTCTAGGAAAAACCCAAGGCTTTTCTTTTTCTTTCTCTTTTCTTTTAAAAAAAGGCAAGTTTCAGAGAGTGGTGATTTTGAAGGAGACTGCTCGTAGTTCGGGGTTGAAATGAGGGGTCCTGGGTGCTCTCTGACCTGGGTTGTTTCCCTGCAGATGTTTCATGACCCAACTAGGGAACACTATCAGTGCTAGAAGGGAGGGGAAGTTGCAGGGAGGAGGGGGAGGAGGAGGAGGGGCGGGAGGAGGAGAACTATGGGGTCCTTGGTGGTCTCTGAACTGGGTCGTTTCCCTGCAGATGTTTCATGACCCAACTGGGGAACATCAGCACTAGAGGGGTTTACAGGGAGGAGGAGGGAGGGAAAGAAGAGGAGGAGGAGGAGGAGGATGGACTGTGGGGTCCTTGGTGCTCTCTGACCTGGGTCGTTTCCTTGAAGATGTTTCATGACCCAACTAGGGATCACCATCAGCGCTGGAAGGATTTACAAGGAGGGGAAGGGAAGAAGGAGAAGGAGGAGGAAGAGGACAGTGGAGTCCTTGGGGCTCTCTTGAGCTTGGTTGTTTTCTCACAGCTGTTTCATGACCCAGCTAGATTACATGGTCAGTGCTAGAAGGGAGCAGGGTTGTGGAAGGAGGAGGAGGAGGAGGAGGAAGATTGTGGGGTCCTTGGGGCTCTCTGAGCTGGCTTGTTTTCTTGCAGGCGTTTCATGGCCCAACTAGGTAACATCATCAGTGATAGTAAGGCGTGCGGTTCGCCGTCAGTTTATATTCTAGTGGCTTGCCTGTCCGTGTGGATGTGGGCGGTCTTAGAGATTCTTTGGGTGGGCTTTTTGCTGTTGGCTTCTTTGGCAGCTTCCTGACTGGGGTCTTAGTTTGCTGGATTGCTGGTCTGATGCTAACCTTGGAGTTAATCTCTGCTGATCTGAGGGCTGGTGGAGGGGTGACGGCGTCTTATTTTTGTTCCCTTTTGGGGCTGGCTGATTTCCTCTTTTGCATAGTCTGCAGATGTTAATGCCTATGTGGGTATTGGTGGCTGATTTGTCAGAGGGCCAGGCTTCTAGAAATTAATTCCCTGGTGTTTTGGGGCGGGCTAGGACCCCTGGGTGGTAATTTTAGAATAACAGGAGTTGGAAAGGGGCTTGGAGGTCCTCTAGTCTAGCCCCCTTCTTGACTGGGAGACCCTATGCCATTCCGAGCAAATGTCTTTTCTTGGAAGACCTCCAATGAAGGCCACTCTTTCCAGCGTCCGTTTTATATTGTGCCAACCCAAACTGCCTGCAACATCCCAAGTGTGGCCTTTCTAAAGTATTAAAATACGCTACCATCCCTTCTTGTAATCTTGATTCCATCCCTCTCTCGATGCAGCTGGTCACACACACACACTGACACACACACTGACACACAAGGGGGTTTGGCACCATCCTTTTGCATCTTCAGGGATGCCATGCCTGTTTTTCGTTTTTCCTTTGTGGCGAGGAAAGTCTTCCCTCTAGTTTGCTTCTGAGTTCTGGCCTTGGCTTGTGAGAAGATTTTTGGCTGGTGGGGACTTTGAAAACCAGGAGTACGACCACACCTTTCTGTTGCTAAGCGAGACAGCTGTTTAGTTTCCAGTGGCCTTTGGTTCCTTACAAACGGTCATCAGAGATATGATGGGTTGTTTTTTTTTTAAAGTGTGTTGTTAAGCAAATCAGGCTCCCCTTTTGCTTGTTGGAAGTTGGCTGGCACGGCCGCCAGTGGGGAATCCTGTGATCTTGGAACATTGCAAGCATCGTAAATGCACGCAGCCTTGCCAGGCAAGAGCCTGAATTTTGATTATGTGACCCTCAGGATGCTGCCAGGGTTGCACGTGTGAGGTATGTGGTTGTAAATCTCCTTTTTTTCCACTGCCATTGTAACTTTGAAAGAGAGTAGAGTAGAGTAGAGTAGAGTAGAGTAGAGTAGAGTAGAGTAGAGTAGAGTAGAGTAGAGTAGAGTAGAGTAGAGTAGAGTAGA